CAGCATCCTAAAATGGTGGACTTCTTGTTGGTGGGGCCACTAACTAATTTTGCTATGTGCATCAGCATGTATGGCTCTAAGTTTTTGGACAATGTTGGAAAAATACTTATCATGGGGGGCAATTATCGAGGTAATTGAATCGTCGCGACCTTTCAATTGTATCTATGTGTGTATTAGAGTGGTTCATAAAAACACTCTTTTTGGAAATTCATAAACGCTACAGCAGAATATTGTTATTTTTGATAAGAAAAAAGAGACACGTATTTTTTTTATTTTGAAAAAAAGTTTTCTTAGAGGTCGCGGTGGTCGGTTTTTTATAAAAACGCTGATGTTCTCAATTTTTTTATTTTCTTGACATGCTAAAATGCAGCTAGAGGTTGCGCTCTAAGAATTTTTTTTTTCAAAATAAAAAAACACGTTTCTCTTTTTTTATCACAAATAACAATAATTTGAGGTAGCGTTTATGAATTTCCAAAATAAAATTTTTTGAACCACTCTAATGTATATATATGCGCATTATTCTCTTCTTGTAGGAATAACCATATGTACTTAGAAACATACATACATACATATACTCTAGGGCTGGGAGTTCTATCCGGATATTCGAGTATCTGATTCAAAATCCAAATTAACTAAATTAACGGTTATTAACCGGATATCCGGATAAAAAACAGAACGCATATTAATAACGCATTAAATAAGGATATTTTATCCGTATATACGATTATCCGAACGAATATTCGGATATCCAAATAAACGGATAGTCCCAGCCCTAACATTAACATATCGCACACCGTCTGCAAAAGAGTCACAACTCAAAATAATACTTTCGTCAGAAAATGCGAAAAACTATTTCGTAGCACATGCTAATCATATAGGCAGGGGCGACTTAATCTTAGGTTTTTCTTAAACAAATTTCCTGCCTGGTAAAATATTAAATTTTTCTTAATTTTGCAAATTTTTTTTGTTAAAATAGTCAAAAGGATAATTTTCCTCAAAAATGCATAGTGAGAAGAGTTACCATTTCAATCAATTTTTCAATTTTGTTTTAGGAACACTGTCATCCAGATCACGTATAAGATTCCAGGAAATGTTGCTCTATTTCAAACCTCCGAGTGTCCTTCTGCCATGAAATCGCTTCTCATAAAAAACCATTTGCCGTACATTATGGATAACATAATACCAAACTCGTTTTATGCATGCATTCAAAAAATTTGCGAAAGGGCAGTTAACTATGAACTACTGAAAGAATGGGTAATAAGTTTTCAAATTAAGCAACTGTTGAATATAACTGTTAGACTATAAAATCCTTACTTTTGACGACAAAACTCCGCCTTAGATAGTCTTTACTTACTTACTTGCTTACTTTTTATTTCTATTGCCAATTTACCAGTAACTCCAAGCATTTTTCGTTTTACTAAGACCCGTTAAATAAATAAGTTGCTTAGTTTTAACGGGCTTTGTTCAATTTTTTGAAAGCTTTTGGTAAATTTTATTTTTTCGGGCGCGGCAACACTGTTTATGAGCAATTTGAAAAAAAAAAAACTTTCTGATCTCAACCTACTTAATCATATTGGGAAGGGAGGTTCCCTATGGTCTTACAACAACGATTTGTAAAATCTGTGAACTTTTTAAATGCATAATATCAAAATGTAACAAATTGAGATTATACAATTTTGAGGAAGTGTGTGTATTTACATGTTTGTGGGTAGGTAGACACTAAATGGACTCTGGCTTTTCCACAGGCAAAGGGAATACTACGAAAAGTGCCGAATTCAATTTTATGCTGGACCCAGAAGCTGCGCACATTGTACTAGCCAATGTTAAAACACCGTTAACTATTCTACCTTGGGAGGCATGTGACGATGGAGCTTCCCACATTACTCTTGTATGGATAAATTTATTTTTTCTCTGATGATTTATTAATATTATTCCGGATATTAATCTAAACGCCTAAATGCCTCGTTACCGAGTAAACCCCTTAAATAAACTGATTTTCCATACAAAATTGAGTAAGTTTACGAGGTTACGAGGCACTTACGCGTTTGGATGAATTCCCCTATTATTTTATTTTATTTCAATTCATTTTATTTGTTCCTTTCCGTTGTTTACGCCTTTGTTTTTTTTTTGTTTCAACAGGATTGGCGCCTAAACGTTCTTGGAACAATAGAAAGTCCCTTCGTCGAATTATTAAATCGCGTGGAACGCGCTTTGCTTATACCGAGAGGCGCCAAACGTTGGCTGGTTTGTGATGCATTGGCCGTCGCCGCTTATCTATTCCCACATTTGGTGGTGACTGATACTCAGCTGCATCATGCAGACGTGGAACTTGCTGGCGTGCATACACGTGGACAGATGGTCATAGATCATTTGAATAGAGAGCAGAAGAATGCGAACATTATTACAGAGATAAATGTTGACCACTACCAAAAAATCATTGCTTGGACAGCTGGATTGAGGGGCATTCATATGGAATGCGAATTGGGGAAATCGCATTGAAATTAAATCTCGAATATGTTATTGGATTTCAACCTTAATATTAATTAATACTAGTGTAAAGTTGAGTGTAAATTTAGTAAATTCCCTGCAGTGAAACCCCCAACTAGTCAGGAAAAATACTAGTTTACAACTAGAATTTCCTGACTGATACCGACCTAGTTCGAAAATGGCCAGATTTGTTTTAAGTATAAAACGATTTATTCATGCCCGGTTTTATTTGACTTCGACAGTTTAATACAATAAAGTACTCAAAATATTATAACTTTTATTTGGGTGTATTGTAAACCATTAAGGCGAGTGCATATTTAATTATGTATACCAGACCTGTTAAATAATGATTAATAATCATAATGATTATTAATTAAAGCATGTTTTTTTGGATTACCGTTTAATCATTAAATATCAATATTAGCACCTTTTTAATGATTAGTAAATAATTAAAAAAATTTAAAAATTCATTAATTTTAATTACATGATTATTTTGTTATTTTTGATCATTTTCAATTACTTTTGACGTTTTTTTCTATTAAACCATTTATATTATTATTTGATTAATTTCAAAGAGTAAGAATAAAGATGAACTAAAGTCTTTATTTTATTTTTAACTAAAATGTTTTTTTTTTGTATATTTAGTATTAAAAAAGATAAAAAAATATAGTATTTATTGTAACTGAAAGCTCCCTGCAAACCAAAGTTCCCGAAATCTTAAGGAAATCGTTAGGAGTATCTCATTTCTGTAACGATATTTTTACGAATTTTCAAAGAAAATTATATGAAGTGGTTGACACGAACTCGTAAAAAATTTCTGTACGAAAAATAAAGAAAATTCTGGAAAAATTCTGAAAGATATTCTTCACATAGCAGCATTATTTTCGTTGCTTCACAGATTTTCCACCGAAATTTCGTAAAAGAATGGAAGTGTGCGTAATTTATTTCATTTTAGAAAATTCGGCAAAAAATCGATTTAAATCTTAACGAATTCTTTAAAATTTCTTTACAATGCAGAATACTCTGAAAAAATGGTTTGCAGGGTCATTTCATTTTAGAAAATTCGGCAAAAAATCGGATGGGAACTTTACGAATTCATTAAAATTTCTCTACGATTCAAAATACTCTGAAAAATGGTTCGCAGAAAAAAGATAGTTGGCTGCCTAGTTGGGCATGCGGTTCATTCTAGTTGTGAGGTAGTTGACAACTGGTAAATTTGACTACAGGGTTTAAATTGAGCTGGTTACACATACATACATTCATACATGTGTGGGTAGTCAAATTGCTTTGTATGGGAGACTTTATTAAAGAGCACACACACAATGTGTGGCATGCTTTTAGGCACTTATGCATAACTTCTTTTTTTTTTAGAAAGTAGTCTTACAACAGTGCCAGCCACTTGAGCAGAGCCCCCTTTGATCTTCAGTTTTTCCAGTTCTTTTGCCGCTCGTTTACAAAGGAACAAAGCTAATAAATGTAAAACGGAGATCTACCACAGTTTTTGAAATGGACCAGATTTTTTTTCCTTATAATACCACACAAAAATTTTTTTTAATCCGCTTTAATTATTGCAATTTGTGTTAACGACTGTAAACGGCCGTAAACTTACGAGGTTAATTTGGTTTACCAGGTATTTACGGTTTAGAAGAATACACTGATTACAGTTAATACAAGACCTGCATGATTTAAATTCGCAGAAATCGTCAAACCTAAATTTTACTAACAGTAAGTCACATGAATAAATCACAGATTTCTAAAAAAATCAGAAAATTTTCGGGAAGTTGTGGAAGCTTTAGAAAAGTTGTCAATTCCGGCAAATTTTTCCACAAGAAAGTCTGCGCAACAATTGTGTGCTGCTATAACAAGGCCGATGTTCATCATTGCTTGGATGGCACTAATACTAAATATTCAATGTTTCTGGAACCTACAGAAAACATTTTGCAAATGAAGACAATAGACCTCATCGCCGTTGATCAGCATATTGAAAATATTTTGGAGGTGATTAAGAATGATCGAAAGAATGCAGAAGGAGTCCCTACGGAGTTAATTAAAAAATCACGAATGATTACAGCCGATCTAGGAAGCAGGTAAACAAAAAAAACTGAAGTGACCCCCATCTTTCAATGAAAATTAGTGCTGGCGATGGTCTATAATAATACCGTATCTGGATTCACTAACGGTCTCTTTACAACTACGCTTTTGCAATAAAACTACTCCAGCTTTTTCGCTGTCTAGATTGCACCAATTTTATTCGATTAAATGTTCCAGTTAAAAGGTACAAAAGAACTCGAAGCATTTTCAACAGATCTATGATCTAGGCATGGGAATTGAACTCATTCTTTGGTACAATTTATGGAAGAAAAAGAACTTGTCCGAAGAAGATTTAAAATATGTTGAAGTTGTAGATCTATTTAAAGGAGAAAACGAATATCTAACAGCGATAAATAGGGGTATTTCCATTTTGAGTGCTTTTCCATGCACTACAGTGCCTGTGGAGCGATCGTTTAGTACACTTCATAGAGTAGAAACCTGGCACAGAAGCACAACGGGAGAAGAAAGGCTTTCTGGACTATGCCTCATGAGCGTCCATAGAAAACTCATTACCGAAAATCGCGAGTTGATTCAGGAGGAAATAATCGAAAAGTTTGCTGAAAATCGTTATTAGCGTTAAAATGATTAAATAAAAAAAATTAACAAGTATATTTCGTTTTGCCTCCCCTTACATCAGATCCTGGCTACGCCCTTGCTGGCTTATACATGCATATGTATGTAAATATTTTGAAAATATGAATATCGACCCTTTTGCACAAAAGTATCGTACTATGTTACATTCTTTACGAAATTCACTTGTTGATGCAACTTTGCTCTACACCCCATATCGCATCATCTGTTCAAATACCGCGGCTTAAATCCCAATAACTACCCCAAAAATAGACTGAAAATTTTTTCGATAGTGACAATGAATTTTTCTTGTGGGCGAAATTATCGTATATGCTAAGGAATTAGAATGTGAAAACCTTTCTACAAAAAAAAATCTTGCGTTTAGTTATATTTCTGAATTATATCAGAAAGTTTATATTTTATTATTGATACTGCTAGTCAAAGCAGAGAAAAATATAAAAAACAATTACCTGTACAATTAGGTTTTTGTAACATATTTCGATATTTTCGAATCTGATGATAGAAACAAATTTTATTGCGACTTATTAAAGGTAATCGATTGACGTGCTTTTCTACATACATAAGTGTCTTTTTATAGTAGCGAGAAAATCGTTGTTAAAAAAGAAATTTATTACATACATATGTATATCGTCGTTTAAAGTTGTATAAAGCAATCGCATATCTGACTAATATATTTCAGTACGAATGGATAAGGATTTAGCGAAGAGCTTGTGTGAGCAAATCCAATTTTTGGCAGCAAATGTCAGTTACGCGGTTTTGCAGAATGACGATACGCGATTTTGTATTTCATCCAGCCAATTTCATCCAGCTCATCACGAGAAATAAATTTATCAAAAATATAATTGCTCAAAATATGGGCAAATATAGGTACTATGTGTATTTTCAAAATATGAATACATATTAAAAGAACTTTACAATGATATAGTATTTTTTCACAAATTTGTGACTTGGCGAAATTATATAAAATTTAACGCTTACAGTTGTAAAATATATAGTAACAACAACCCATTAGAAGTACACAACTTTCGTCACAGTTGTCACACCTTTCATATCTATTATTCCCATAGTTTGAGGATGGTCACGAAATGCTTATATTTGTTATTTCCGAAAGACAAACCCATTCCTTTTGGATATAAATTTAGTAAGTAGTACATACTATACATTCATATAAGCCGTTTATTAAGTCATTTCATGCCTTTTGACTTCAGTGATCATTTACTTGTATCTGAACGCTCATAAATTTATATGTATGGTATGTAAGTGTAAGTTATTTTGCAACTTTGTCCTACAAAGCAAAACTCCTAGACTAGATGTCTTACGTGATAAATTTTTTGTGTGCAGTTCAGGAAAATTTAACAAACTTCTAAACGCTTTCATCAAAATTTTAAATTTTTTTTCAGAATATGAACCTGTTGTACTAAAAAAGACTAAGTCTTATTGTACTAATGTTTTTTGAAATAAATGAAATGAAATGAAATTTAAAAACTTATTGGGTATGCAGTTTGGTGGCCCATTCAGTTTTAGTATAATAATCTGTATTTTATCATTATTTTTTTTTTTGAAATGCCTTAAATTTTCGTGAATTGTGCACAAAGTTTCAAACTTTGACTTACATATATAGTTTATGTTATAGAATGTGCTATATTTTTATGGAAAATTAACGAAAAAAATTTATCATATAAGACATTGTGAATATTGTAAAAATTAAGAGTGTGCCACGATGCATCGAAACAAAGGTGGCGCCTTCCGCGAACCGCTAATCACGACTTGACATCAACCCCCCTTTCGCTGACGTCACATTATTATTTTTGAGCACTAGTGATGAATACTAAATATTCATATTGTACCTATTTGCCGAAAAGTTGTACCTAAAAGTAGATACATGTACCTAAACAGTAAATATGTACTTTTATGTCACTTGGTGGACTACATCTTCCATCTGTAGCATAACAACTTTTGCAGTTGAAACATGAAACAATATTTTACTACGTTCCAAATGTACGTTCAAATTGTTGAAGAGTAGGTACAATTCAACCTAGTGTTACATCACTATTTCGCACCGCTTGTTCGCTTCTTCATCTTCTTCTTCAAAATTATTCTTTACACTCTCATTCTCAAAATAATGTGACGTCACGCCCGCCCAGTTGCTCTCAGCTTGATTGGCGCAATCTTGTATTCTATCATTCTTGAGAATGTGCTATATGCGTGAGCGCCAGAGTACATATTACTCCTTGAATTCATAAAACCTCGATGAAAATTAGTCTATGAGAGAATTTATTACCAAAGAAAAATCATCAGTGACTCTTGATCTGTCTGGTTTTTTCATATAAATTCAATTTTTGGAAACAATGCCTTTCGCACAAGGCTTATTGATGAATGATACAATGGCTCTTCCGACCTGTTTTCTTGGGTGTGGGTAGATCTTTCTTTGATATCCAATTTAAACGAAAAAAAATAAATGGTGTCGATTGGATAGTAAATACTACTACTAGTAATTGAGGAATTGAGTCCTCAATTAGTACCGTGCCCAAATTATTTTGTTGCGTGCTTGTCAATGGCACGTGTGCCTTAGGTTCGCCGGCCCTGACATAGGGAATAGATACAATGCAAACGCCCCCAAAC